CCATGAGAAGTGTAAAATTTTTACTTTGATCCGTCAAAATTTTCTATTTTCTAACAATTGGCACAGGGCCAAATAAGCGTTTCATGAGTGTTTTTTATCTCCTTTCCACTTTGTTTTCCTTCCTCATGTTTTCGCAAGGGTGGCAGCATGTGGATTTTTCGTTTTTCGTAGCGTAGCTACAAATTACGAAAATTCGGGTTCTAGAATAAGGGGGTATAACTCGAGAAAGAAAAATCGAATGGCAACACACGAAAATAAAGCCCTAAGTAGAAATGAGCAAAAAATTTTATGTTTTCATTATATAACCTCAAATATCGCAAAAACCCGTGTTTTTGGCAATCTGGGGCTAGGTTATCTAAATTTCTAGTACTAGAGAAATTTTGCGGTCAGATTTGGATTTAGCACCAAGAAACGATGTGTTTTACTCAGGTGGTAAAAAAATCAAAATTTGTACAACAAATTAGAAAAGAAAAAAAGGAATACTTAACTTACCTGCGTATTAGCTTTTTCAATGCGCCTGGAATTCAACAAGATGGGTTTGCAACTTCAGCTTTTTATCAACCATGGTTGTATTTTAGTGAATTTAAATTTGTATATTCTTTTAAATTCCGCATCTTCATGAGACACCGCAGCTTATAATATTTCAAATTATTTCAAGTTTTAACTATCTCGGAGTAATATTAGTTCAAAAAAGCACTAAAAAAGGCACTAGGCACTATGTAATTTTTTTGGCGTTTTAATTTTCAAAAAGCACTAAATCTAGTGCTTAAAGCACCAAGTTGGCAACTATGCATGTAGCTTAATGGTGCCTACTATTTTGTTGCTTCTTACTTGCAAAAATTCTCACGTCATAAATTGCATTGTCATTTGTTTTCCGTAAGCTGCCTACAAACAGCCGTCTATAGCCATAGTCTAGCATCAAGCTTAGCGACGCTTTACGATACCTCACAACCTCGTATTGGCAATTTACTCATAGAAATCTAAATGTAACATAAAATTTAAAATAAAATAAAAACAAATTGACAAAGCAGATTGCTCCATTTGAGGTCATCTGCACTAATGAACTAGTTCGTGTCAATGCACACATTACTTTTTTTATAAGTTTTCCTCGCCGTTTTTTATCTATATATTTATTTGTATTTATTATTTAAGTAATTATATTTTTTAGTTTGTTGTCTAGCGCTCCGGGCCAGGGATAGGTCGAGTGTCATTATGTGTTCATGTTTGTACTTGAAAGTGACAAAACAATTGGATGCCTCGAAAAGAAATAAAAAAAGAGTAAACCAATGAAAATGACAACCAAAACCAAAACAAAGAAGAAAGAAAAAGCGAAAAGCATATAATAAACAAACAAAACATCGAAAATAAATATCGAGGTAACTAAATCGCGGTTCAATAGAGCAGTCAGAATTACTCAAAATTTATAATTACACAATAAAGTGAAAAACAAAACAGACTAGACTAGGGTTGAGCGGAAGCAAAAATATTTGCGTTACATTAGGCGTCAGTAGAAAACCCGTATTTTTTTTTTTAAATCCCCTAATTTTTTTTAATCGGTTAATACTTTCTGCCTCCAATTTCTTATTGAAATTTGGAGAGTTTTGTTACAAAACATTTGGGGTATTCCATTGACGTCCAAAAGAAACGATTTCCCAATATTTGCAAAAACAAAATTTATTTCCGCTCCACCCTAATGTAGGTTCTAGTAGCTTCGTACCTTTTATACCCAATGCAAAGTTTTTTGCTTCTAATTCAACTAGCTTGCTCGAAAATTTCATCACAAAAAATCCTTTTTAGCCTTTTCAAAAATATTGATATGCTTTAAAAACTGTATTTTAGACCGTGACGCCATACAAGCAAAAAAAAAGTTCGCCGTACACCCTTAAGTATATTAGCAAGGTAATTTCAAAAAAATTCTGTTTTGTACAACCTAATGTCGCATAACACCTACATTCGACTATAAAAAACTTTTTGTTTTGAATAGCTCTATAGAAATTATCGAAAAATTTCCTTAGCAAAAGTCTAATGGTTTTTGATGAGCTTTAGTTTACTTAGTTTAGAATACTTTGGTATCAGCTTAAGTATTTAGCAGGAAAATGCAGAGCCGCTGAACTGTCAAGACAAGGTGCTCTTGAGGAGTTTTTTCCGGGAAAAAAGACGGGTATCCTATCGACGACTCTGCGCGAAAGCTGAAGCTTTTCATGAACCAACTGATTGGACCTTATCGGTGTGAATCCTTAGAAAACTTGCACGCTAGATAGAGTGACGTTGACTACAACTTATAGCTCCATTGAAAGTGGCAAGGACCTCTCCGTGCCGTTTGAGAACAAATCAAGTTTTAGCCGAGGTGATTCACTTTCGTACGATTTCTATTAATAAGTTCTTTGGGCTTGGTAGGCAATTGAATTGTTCCCGATGTACAAAAAATTATGTTCTACAAATCTTCCATCATGCCGTTCTTTTTTTATGGAGCAGAAACGTGGACGATGTCGAACAATGATAACACGGCTTTGGCAGCTTTCGAGAGAACTATTCTGCCTAAAATCTATGGCACTGTTGGCGTGTCGGGCGTCTGGAGGTTGGGGTCTGGTGAAAAGATCCGTCGACTCGGACCCCAAGAAAAGCCTGTCTGTAATCGGGATGAACAAATGGTGCAACTTTGGAAATGAGAGAGGCGATTGACAAAGTTTTTTGGTCCTGTCCCAAACCGACAAACGGTTGTAGAGGAAAATAAGGAAAAAAAAGGAGGAAAGGAAGAAGAAATGTAGTGCTGGAACTCCATTTTCCACATATTATTATTATTATTATGAGCCTTGAGCACTGCGACCTCTAGGGTGGTCTAGACGGGTGGACAGATGAACCGTGGTAGCTTTGTGTTTTGGTAGGCGGTCCGCCTGTTCATTGCCATCGTGGCCTAAATGCCCCGGCACCCAGCCCAGTAATACTGTGTTTTTGCTTCCAAGAGTATTTAGGATGCTGAGGAAGTAATACACTAGTTTTGATGTAATTATGTGGGGCCTCAGCGCTAGCAGGGCAGCCTGACTGTCCGACATAATGTGTTAGAAGCTGTGCCTCTTCTGAAGCATTTTCTGCCACAGATCTCTACCGCATGAATCTCTGCTTGGAAAATGGTGGGATAGCTGCCCATTGGTATTGATTTTTTTTTAAATTCGGCCCAAATATACCAGCTCCCGTTTTTCCATCTTCAGTGTACCAAACTTTAACTCCGGGTTTTGTGTAAGGGTTTCATGTAGTACAGAATGCTCGGTCCGCAATAGATACCTTAAAATTCCTCGAAATGACTGCGTCCCTCATTTGCATTATGGAGTCATTTGTGAATTTCATTAGGACCTTCATATCACTGCTTCCGGTTTTTAATTCGGAAGTATTTAAGATTCTCAGTGGCAAAACGCTGGCGTCCCTCTCTATTAGGATTGGGAAGGTCGGTATACCCACAAGAGAATTAAGTACATCAGCAGTACAGGTCCGCACAATCCCTGTTATGCCAATGCAACCCATTCGGTGCGGCTTGCTTAGTTTTGTGCTAGAAGTTCTTTGTGTCGCTTTTGTTCACCATGCCAAGGATGCGTAGGTGACTATCTGTATCACAAGTGTGTGTTAAATGAGTTAAGACATTTTGAGGGAGAGTCCCTATGTCCCATAAAGTCACCTGCATGCGAAGAAGGCTCTCATTGCCTTGTTTTATTCAGCCACATCCCCCGGTATTTTGCCTCATTTGAAAGACCTATTCTATTGCCGCCCAGAGGAAATTCTGTCATGGAGAACTTTTTCCTCCGTGTAAACGGAACCAGGGAAGATTTAGTGGGATTAATGGATAATCCTTTGGTGTAAAACCATCTTTTCGTAATGCGCAGGACATGTTGCATGCGGTTGGAGATCATTTCGCCTTGCAGCCCTTTAACACAGATCACCAGATTGTCTGCATAGCCTTGTGTTTCGAAGCCATGGTCGTTTCCACATATAGTCTGCTTGAGTAAAAATGGGCATTTATTCAGCTTAGATACGGCTCGGCGAAAACTTTGGTAGGCACGGGTTTTAGTTACTTATGGCCATAAGTAGATCGTAGGCGACTTCCGAAGCTAAACAAGGCGTATTTCCCTAGTTATGCTGGTGGAAGGCTTAGCCAGTCATTGAGCGATAGGACTCCATTCGCCTCACGCTCTTACTCAGCTGTTATGGAAGACAATAAGATGGAATCATCTCAGCATCTGCTCCTTGGCTGTCCAGCTTTCGCGAGCTTAAAGCTTTAACACCTCGGGTCTCCTGTCGTTACCGAATATTTTCTAGTTCGGAGGAAGACCAGGATGGAATGTAGTTATTTTTGAAAGAAGTTCTTAACCATCGCATCTCTCTATAGGTCCACTCTCTTTCCCCAGTTGCGAATATCTTTCAATGCCCTTTCGAGTAGTTGTTGCTCTCATCTCACTTAAACATTAGCTTGAGTAAGCAGCCCTTAAATGTGTAATACGCATTGGGTATCATAAAACATTGTTTACATTTGAGAAGTATGTATGTTAAAAAGCCTCTGTAAATATAGCCAACTCTTTTGCGCACCCATTTTTGTTTACAGAACTTTTCACACACACATCCATACCATTTTTTTTATCCAATCTTTCATTCAAAAACGTCAATGGAGCATGCAAACTGGGTGTGCGGTCGCTGACCAAAACAATTCAACAGTCACCTACATTAGTATTAATGTATGTATGTATGTACCTATGCTTGTATTAAATGCGCCTAAATTAGTCGCTCAACTAAACAAATTTCAATTGATAAACTACTTCATTAAGCACATTGTTTTTATTGTTTATCTAAATAAAATAAATAGTTTAGATTTTCCTCATCAAGCGTAGACTTTTTACGAATTTTCCAAACTGTGATCTATCTAACTACATACATATATGTATGTATATGTGTGACTTTCATTTTCATTCGAGCATTCGGGCTAATCACTTGTTTTTTTTTTCTTTTTTAGTTTTTACTCTACGCTACTCGCAGTGAGTCCGTTCCAGTCTACATCAACAGAGAAAAATTTTAAGATAAACCTTGTAAAGAAAATCTATAATCGAAGAAAGATGTCGCTGCTGCGTCCTATGTTGCTGCTGGCTTTTGGTGCCACCGTCGCCTTGGCTCAACGTCGCCTAGCGTTACCGGATCCACGCAGTTGTGCTAATCGTGAGTATACATACATAAATATAAAATATTTATCAGATAGGTTCTGCAATTCACTTCCGATTGAGTTTCAACCAGAGTCACTTTGAATTCTCGGAAGTGAATTGCAGAACACGCCTGTATAACTCGTTTTCGTTTTGGTAGGAAATGAAGGGAAAGTGCTTAGTCCATATTTCTAAAAGTTTGATTCTAAACTTTTTAAGCACAATCTTGAAACAAGGAATATCATGGTGTGCCATAAATTTGAGGAATACTGAAGTAAGATGCAAATCTAATTGTGCAAAATGCGAATTTTCACAAACCAAATATCACGATTACTGCTTTCGATCGCCATCTTCGGTGTTAATTAGCTGCAATATCGTTAAATCTGAAATCTTTTAGACTCAAAAAAATTTCAATTTCCACTTCGTAGGACATCGCCATGTAAAAAGAGACAGTTGAAAGCATTGCCTTGGGATAGATCGAGAACCAGTACCGCCTCTTAAAGAGCTAGTTCTGCGCTAGTTTAAAACTAGCGCGATTTACTGCAGGGCAGAAGACTCGCGAGGCTATGTGTGCGTGTGTATTTTGCCTGGTACTATGCTAGACATTTTCGATTAATAGGTTTAGCGCGAGTCTTTACCTAAAAGATGGGTACTGCTGAAAGCTGTGCACTTTCATATTATGTACCCCACTATTCCCAGTTGTTGTTGATGTTGTTGTAGCAGCATAGAAATTCCCCAAAGAGTTTTTCGGGTGTGTTGCTGGAGTGACATTCCTTGGCCAGATATAAATCTGGGTAGTTCCGGTTACGTAGTCCCAACTGTCGTGGGAACGCCCACTACTCCCTTTATCTCACACTAAACCTAGTTTGAATGAATGAATGCATGCGCTGTCAGCAAACAGTACCCACCAGCAGTCCTACAAGAAATCTAGGGTCCGAACTTCCCATTGAGAACAATAGACCTAAAAGTTTTTTTTTTATCGTATGACCTGCGCATACTCTTTCCAAATCGGATGCCCTAGTTATTAATCCAGACGAACACGGTTTTCTATCGCCCATCTCCGTGCCCTTTTGCCATGCATCGACCGCTATTGTAGCTTTCGAAACTCAGATGCAGGATCACCTACTTTATCCGTCCTGTCGCAGATGACGCTATACTAATACGACAATAATACGTCATGAACCAAATCTGATGCTAGACACGTAGTCTCGAGGTAGTTGTAAACGCTATTTTTCTAGGTGAAGATCAGCCGATGACATGGGTACCGCCCTCGGTGTTGTCCCCGAGGCACCCGTTATGCTAATCAATGCGAGAATATAAACTCCCTCTAGTATTTTTGGGTAGGTCCGCTCTTTCATAGCTATCCACCAAACTTGTACCCGGACGATCAGTATTTATCATATAAAAACTCCGATTTGTGATTGGTCCAATTTACAATAAATGTGGTGACAGAACCTGACCGATGGCCTGAGTTATTTTGATTTAAAAGTCATCGCTCGACTGCAGCTTATTGGCGTACAGAAATCTGCGACTTCAGAAAGCTTCACAAGAAACAATCTAGAAGTGTCATATCACACCCTCTTAGTGGCCAATTCCCGTCACCTCAGTTAGAAATCTTTCAAGTGGAACGCCCATTGCATCGTCCGTTTTGTGGCGCATAGTGCCCATCCGCTGAAACCACATATCAACCACGTCCATATGGTTCCATTCTAAATATAATAAATATGTTTCCATGAGTCTGTAGATCTTGCCGTTGACGGTGATGGCCACACAAACACCGTCGGTCCAGAACTGATACCTGATTGTTTACCAACTCTGTCATGTGATGGTGATTTGGCATCAGAGTGGTAGTAGTAAACAACAGGTTAGGCCATCACAGACTGTCAACATCGATCAGTACCAATTGAAAAGCTCGTTAGCCTTATTCTTAACATTTGAGTACAGGAAAACATATAACACTTGACTACATTTTTTTATATCTTAGCCCGTATGTCGTTCGTATAACTTTCCGGGGAAAATTATCTATGTCTCAGAAGCAAGTGGAGATAGACAAAGTGATCACTCGGTGACCTTACATGCTAACCTAATATTCGCGGCTTGCGTTTTGGTACGCATGCCGTCGAATTTGGTTTTTTGCGTCACCCGAAATTGAGTTGCATGCGTTTGCATTTGATTTCATTGAACGAAACGTCAAATCAAAATGTCACGCAGAACAAAAATTGGAAATTGAGTTAGCTTCATACGCACGCCGTTCAATTTCGGTAGATCTCATACAAGTTGCATGTGCATGAGAAATTTTTGACAATAAATTGGCGGCGTGCGTGAATATTAGGTTAGCCTGTTAGTTAGTATTGATCGCAATGCATATCGGATATTTATGGACTAAACGCCAGTGAGAAATTTTAAAGTAAAGTAGAGTAAAGTTCTTAGGTCTCCTATTCGTAGTTTTCATTGTTATTCTAACTGACATCGTCGTTGCTCTTAGCTTTACAACAGTGCCCGCCAAGCACTTCCCTGGGAAACGAACTATATTCGGCCTTTCACATGTACACAGTCGGCTTCTTACAGGCTAACCTAATATTCGCGGCTTGCGTTTTGGTACGCATGCCGTCGAATTTGTTTTTTTGCGTCACCCGAAATTGACTTGCATGCGTTTGCATTTGATTTCATTGAGCGAAACGTCAAATCAAAATGTCACGCAGAACAAAAATTGGAAATTGAGTTAGCTTCATACGCACGCCGTTGAATTTCGGTTGATCTCATACAAGTTGCATGTGCATGAGAAATTTTTGACAATAAATTGGCGGCGTGCGTGAATATTAGGTTAGCCTGTTACACGTACACAATCCGAACGTCAACAGAAAGAGTAGAAGAGCAACAGATTTTATTTAGTTGCATGCAAACAATAGGCGAAGCAGGTTGATGACGCATTATTGTTGAATAAAGTAGGTACACTGAGCAGAATGAATGAATATTCATTCAAAAATTTTATAACACAATTTTTCGTACATACACCCCTAGAAATAGGTATGTATATGGTACCAAGTCGTGCTTTTTCTTCATATTAAAAGAACTTTGTGAATTATGTATTTTTTTTTAATACCAGACTAGTCCTCAATTAAAACATACAATATGTTTTGTTATTTATCTTTTGGTTTAATCGATATTTTAAATTGTTCTTAAATGTCAAGTTTTACCTAATTTTAAAATAAATATATATTAGATATATATATTTTTATTTTATTTCTACTTGAAATCAACGAAATTTTCTTTTAATATTCAGAGTGTACGAAGCACGTTATCTTTTTTGCTCAGAAATCCACACTTAAATTATAAAAAAAATAATAATAATTTTGTACAATACATACAAAATTTTACCAACTTTTTCCTTTTTTAGGGCCGTTAACTTTCATTATATGTTTCTATGTTGTTTAGATCTAAAAAATACCGCACAATGAAAAAAAACGGTAAAAAAACATACCAAAGTTTTTATAATAAGTAAAGGGCCATTGACATACAACTTTCCTCGCTTTGCTTGACAGTTCAAACTTTGAAAACAAAGCGCGAAACGCAGAAGGTATGCTACAATAAACGCTTTGACAGCTTTTGCATTCTCCTTTTCCTCCATATATTTTATCTGTAAAATAGATAGCAATATAATAATATGCATTAATAATAGCAATAAAAATTCCTATTTACTCTATTTTTGTCATTAAATGCAAATGCAAGCGCACAAGAATAGACAAATGTAGACAGCTGATTGCCAAAGCGGGCAAAAGTTGAGAGTTGCCTAAGATTTTGCTTCGTTTTTTATGTGAGCATACTCATGCATATGCCTACATCGATCTTATTTGTCAAAGCAAAGAACTATCAAGCAAAGCGAAGAAAGTTGTATGTGAATCAGCCTTAATACAACACAGAAATTGTTTTCCGTGCATTACTAATACATTCTCATTTTAAGACTTTTCTCTTTTTGGCGGGCACTGTTTTACAACTTTATGCATAGTTGCCAACTTAGTGCTTTAAGCACTAGATTTAGTGCTTTTTGAAAATTAAAACGCAAAAAAAAAATGGTTTAGTGCCCTTTTTAGTGCTTTTTTCTGAACTCAAATTTCTGAATTTACAAGAATCTACAAATTTAAATGCACTAAAATGCAAACCATGATTGATAAAAAGATGAAGTTGCAAACCCACGTTCTTGCGTTCTTGTTAAATTGTATTCGCGTTGAAAATGCTAGCACACAAGTTAAGTATTTATTTTTTTATTTTCTTGATTATTGATTGATTACACAGTTCGAAAAATTTTAACTTTTTTTGCTACCTGAGTGCATCGGTTTCTGTAGACTCTTCGGTGCTGAATAAAAATCTAGCTGCAGAATTTCTATACCACGTCAGAATTTTGAGATATCCTAGCCTCTAAGTGTAAAAACACCTTTTTTCGCAATATTTGAGGTTATATTATAAAACAACAAATTTTTTCGCTCATTTCTACTTAGGGTATCATTAAGTACATATTACTCCTCCCCTTTAAAATTCAATTTCGTTTGTTGCGATTCGATTGTTCCTTCTCCAGATGTACCAGTTTTAATGTGCAGTACTTCGGTATTACTTCGCAAGCATGAATGTGTATTTATTTATACATGTAAATATTGTTTATTTTTTTACTTTTGTTTACCACAAACTGTTATAAAAAAGAGTATCCTTTGATTAAAAAAAAATTTAGTGCTTTTAGTGCGGTAAAACGCTCTTTTTTCCAAGGTTTGGTGCTTTTTGAAACTGAAAAGTTGGCAACACTGACTTTATGCCATACTTTTCTTGCTCTTACTTAACTCTTCTCCCTCTTCTTTTCTTTCTCCTCTCCTCGCAGGTGTTCGCCACGCCACCTATCGTGATGCACGCGGTGTAGCTCATTCGTACTTCTTCAGCTGGGAGCATGCGCCAACGCGCAGCCTTGAAGTCGATTGGTTAGATGCGCGCAACATTTGCCGTCGCCATTGCATGGACGCCGTTTCGCTGGAAACGCCACAGGAGAATGAATTCGTCAAGCAGCGCATAGCGCGTGGTAATGTACGCTATATCTGGACTTCGGGTCGCAAATGCAACTTCGCTGGCTGTGATCGCCCCGACTTGCAGCCACCAAATGAGAATGGCTGGTTCTGGTCTGGTTCGGGTGGTAAAATTGGACCTACCTCGCAGCGCAACACCGGTGACTGGTCGCACACTGGCGGCTACAATCAACCACAACCGGACAATCGTGAGGCCGCACAGGGTAACGATGAATCGTGTTTGTCGATTTTGAATAATTTCTACAATGATGGACTCAAATGGCACGATGTGGCGTGCCATCACTTGAAGCCGTTCGTGTGCGAGGACTCCGATGAGCTACTGAACTTTGTGCGTTCACGCAATGCTGGTATTCGTCTGTAAAGGAATGTAACGCTGCAGATGTAGGAAAAGAGAAATTGTAAATGTGTTGTTTTTACGAACGGAATTTGGCTTGGATAGTGATCGTGGCATGTGAAGCATGGAACGTATTTGTTGATGTTTTCGTTTTCGTGTATGCTTTTTAATTTTGTTTGTAAAAATTTTGTTTGAAACTTTGAAGATTTTTTCGAATTGGCAAGAAATTTATTTTGGGTTTGAGCATAATTTCGTTTTAGTTTAAGCATATATGTAATACTCCTATATTGGCAGTAACAGCTAGTACCGTCCGAAAACACTACAGTACAGATATATCAATAAACACGTACGAAAGAAAAGGAACACATACGTTTATAAATAAACATGTACACGACACATTTACAAAAACGGCACTCAAGTACACAATACATTGACAAAAACAGTACTAGACTGTCTCGCTTTGATTTCGGAATGCTTACACATTGAGATGTTAGCTTACTACCAATATAGAAGTATTACATATATGAGTTTAAGTGAATTTAAAAATTAATTTATGTTTAAAATAATAAAGGAAAAAATGTAAGAAAAAAATCTAAGAGGTACCTTATTCGAAAAGCTGAAAACTATTCGCTTAAAATTCCTGGTTCTCGGTTCTAGCGAATTCGGTGCAAACTTGTTTTACACAAATGTTTTTTTTAATGTAGTTAAATTATCTCTGTGATTGATTTCCTGAAATACTTTTTTCCATACTGAATTGGCTATTGCATTTACACCCACTTCTTATGTATAACCACTTTTATATCATATATAAAATGTGACCAGGACGGTCTATTGAATTCATTTGTTTCGGCCAATTTTCTGTCTAATGAGTGTATTGCATTTAACTAAGTTTAATAACAAATCCGAAAATACCAAAATTCGATTACATGTTAGCTTAAGTATAAGTATTTTAAAATGTATAGAAAATTGGAAATAAATTTCTGCATTAGTAAAAAATGTGTTGTTTCTTGGGCGGCAGTGCGATAATTGGAGTGGAATACCGTAACTGAATAATCGACCACTGTGACCAGTCAGCAGTTCAACATGTTGTTTGCAGTCCCGTCTGCGCAGTGAGAGCGGTGAACTAGATAGTCCTTCTGTGATTGAAGGCAACAGCCCCTCGATGCCTCCCAGTTATTTCTGAGCGAAGTATTCACCCAGTTTGTGTTGGTGGCTTCGATGGCCGAAGTAGGGTGTGCTATAACTGGTTGCCTTTGCCTAGTCTGAGCCAGTTCTGGCCAAATGGTCAGATGTCTCATTACCAGGTACTCCTGAGTGACCTGGCACCCAGAGTAAAGCAAGCCAACATAATTTAGTTGAGACTTCCGTTGCCGAACTAGTTTGGAAGTAGTTAGAGGGCTGGCCAGTGCCTTAAGTGCAGCTTGGCTGTCACTGCAGACACGTAAACTCCTTCGCCTCCATCTATGTATTTTCCAGCATGTACTCCATGACCTTGAAGATTGCAAATACCTCAGCCTGGAAGACCGAAGCATTATCCCCAATAGAAAAGTTAAGCCATTAACTTCGGTGAAGACCCCAGATCCTGGTCCAGAGGTCTGGAGCCCAGCAGAGCTCTTTCCAGAGAGGGGTACACTCTTTACTGTAAACTGTGAAGCCTGTTTCTCCTGTGCGCAGTATTCTTTGTACCACAGTCTTGAGCCAATCCCAGTTTGCTTCAGAGAGACATTTCACCACAATGGTTCCGGACGCAATTACGGCCCGGATAAGATGGCTCTTGCAGCATTTAACTTCTGCAGCAGTCATCTGCCGAGCCGAGCCCGCCCTCCCAATTACGGCAATGAGCGGAGGGCTCTTTACGGCCTCACGTAAGTTGGCCGGCCCCCCGACATCCTGACGCAGTAGGAAGTTTTTGATGTTCCGAGGGCATAGCGAGGGCAGGTCTGCCTCAACCAACCCTTGCATCAGTTCTACCTTTGGTTTTAGGCAAGGGTTTCGTTGGCAGCGTGCTGCTTCTAGACCCACATCCCCTGCAAGAGATTGGTCCTCTTCCGACTCTAAAGAAGAGAGGATTGGCGTTACCTCCGCCCCTCTCCTCCAGGATGCGCTCCTGGTCTATGACGCTGGAGACTATGGCAATGGTTTGCGCCTCCAGAATGCTTGCCCCTGCCGCAAACACGGTGTGGGTATCACCTGGAGTATCATCCAAACGTTGTGATTTACAGGTTTGTGCCAAACTACCTGGGTTGGTGAGTATTTCAGGGGGTATTTTTCCCGTCATCCTCCTACTTCCTGAGACGCACGAATACCATTCGGGACATACGCAACAAATGGATTTTAGTCGCCTTTTACGACAAGGCGGGTAAATCCTGTAATCTTAACGTATCGTTGTAGGTCGCGGATGTCCACAGAGACGAGGTCAGAAACAAGCGCTAATTAAGATCACAGTGCCTTTAACCTAATTTTCCTTTCACTGCTTTGTACGCGACAAATCTAAAAAAGTAACAATTTTTCATTTTTTAGTTTATTAAACATTTATTTATGTATACAACTTTTATTAATGTATGTAAGTATGTATTTTGTTTCGTATGCAAATACAAAAACTCACATGAATTGATTTCTAAAGTTATACATCTATTTGCTATTTTATTGTTGTAAATATCGTTCAGTTATACCTATGGGATGTAGGATATTACATTTGTTTTTATGCATGATATATGAAAGTATATCGTTTATTATGTGTATTTTCGCTATTACTGTACTAGAGGCGCTGCCATTCTAAAAGTTACTGTCTGTTATACATACATACATATATGTTTGTATATGTATTTAATTTGATTTCCTTCGCTATTCGCTAATTGTTTTTAAATAATATTTGTATGTAGAATTTTATTTTGTTTTATTTAAAAGTTACATATCACAGCGCACGGCAGTGCACGCGAGTGACGAAAGCAGCCACAGTAAATATTTTACTGCATAAAATTTTTGTTCGTTGCTGTATTTATATTTTTTACTATTTTATGGGGTACATATAAATATGTATTTGAAATATCTAGTTAAATTTAGTTTTGGTTTTTATTTTATATTTTTTGCTGTTATATCCTTATGGGCTATGCTGCTGAGAATATTTGCTTATTATTTTTTAACTCATCCATTTTCAGCACAATCGCCGTTAATCTCAGGAACACGGACTTTTATAATAAAAGTCGTTAGAAAAATTGTATTTTAATTGAAGTTAAATAAACTTTCAATCTGAGCTTTTACTTTTTTTAGGCCAGTGATAACAGTTAAAGTTGGCCAAATATTTTTTCAAAGCCGAAATAAAAGTCCTTCCCTAATAATAAACAAACCATTTAACCAAACTAAACAAATTTGGTATCAAACAAAAGCGGACTGAAATAGCTTTTAAACTGAAATATTTAAACGAGGAATGCCACGTACTGAAAAATATTGAAATTAAAAATGTTATTTAATTACCATAGAACAAACCTTAAATAAAAATAAAAATATTATTGGGAAAGGACTTTTATTTCGGTCTTTAAAAATATTTGACCAAGTTTAATTGTTATAACTATGGTGACCACATTTCTGTGGACAAAAATCGGGGCATTTCTAAAGCATCGAATCTGAACATATAATCTTTGTTTTAGAATTAAAATACATAACATCTTTCAATATAGTTTTATTTAAGGCAAAACAAAAAGAAAAAGACATTAAAAATCATCGCAAAAATTTATACACACAATATATACAGTGGTGAGGACGAAAATGGGAAAAGACATCTTTGTTTAAAAACTGTTTATTAAATTTCTATGAAAATATGGCTTACTATCTAAAAAAAAACCATGTAAATCAAAATTTCAAACTTTGTAGAACATTTATA